ATACACTGAGTGGCCAGATTATTATGACCATCTGACGTTTGTAGGCAAATTAGCTATAATTTCGCGCTGAAGTTGCTAGAGGGCCAGACCATTATAAATAGGGAAGCAGGTTGTTTACCACGACAGTAGAAGTAATTTTTTTCTGAAGATATAGGTAAACAACGCGATTTAACAGCCTTTGAACGTGGGATGATTGTTGGCACTCAGAGCCATGGAGCGAGTATCAGCAAAACAGCAGAATTCGTTAAATGTTCAAGAGCAGCTGTTGTTAAAGTGTTTAAAGACTGGACTGTCAGCTGAAAATCTGGGTCTGAATGTGTGAATTGTGGCCGTCAGCAACTAGTCAATGTTAGGGCAGAACGGAGAGTGGCAAGACTGGTACAAGACAACAGAAGGGCAACAGTACATCAAATGACTGCAGATCTTAATCAGGGATCCTCTCAAATGATCTCTGAACGCACTGTTCGCCGTACACTGCATCATATGGGATATGGAAGCCGAAGGCCTGTTCAAACACCTTTGCTGTCTGCAGTTAACAAGATGATATAACGTCTCCAATTCGCACAGGAACACAAGGATTGGACAGTCGAGCATTGGAAAAAAGTCATGTAGTCCGATGAATCATGTTTCCAGTTGCATCATGCAGATGGCAGAGTGAGAATTTAGTGGAAACAGCATGAAACAGCATGAAAGCATGCACCCCACATGCATAAGTACAACATAAGTGGTTTGGGGCATGTTTTCCTGGCATGATTTGGGCCCTTTAATTTGTGTGGAACGTCTGAATAGCACAACATACCAAAGTATCGTTGCTGATCAAGTTCATCCTATCATGTGTATGGAGTAAATTACCAAACGTATTGGGACACCCTCCAAATCATTGGATTCAGGTCGTTCGTGAAATTTTCTAACTACTAAATATTCCGCGGGTCAACTGTTAGTGGTATTATAACAAAGTGGAAGCAACTGGGAACAACAGCAGCTCAGCCATGAAGTGGTTGGCCACATAAAATGACAGAGCTGGGTCAGTGCATGCTGAAGTGCACAGTGCGCAGAAGTTGCCAACTGTCTGCAGAGTCAATAGCTACAGACCTACAAACTTTGTGTGGCCTTCAGATTGGCACAACAACAGTGCGTAGAGAGCTTCATGGAATGGGTTTCCATGGCCGAGCAGCTGCACCCAAGCCTTACATCACCAAGTGCAATGCAGAGCATCGGAGTGGTGTAAAGCACACCGCTACTGGTCTCTAGAGAAGTGGAAACGTGTTCTCTGAAGTGACGAATCACGCTTCTCTGTCTGGCAATCCGATGGACGTGTCTGGGTGGAGGGGGGATTATGGTGTGGGGTTGTTTTTCAGGGGTTGGGCTTGGCCCCTTAGTTCCAGGGAAGGGAACTCTTTAGGCATCAGCATACCAAGACATTTTGGACAATTTCATGCTCCCAAATTTGTGGGAACAGTTTGGGGATGGCCTCTTCCTGTTCCAACATGACCATGCACCAGTGCACAAAGCAAGGTCCATAAAGTAAGGGAGGGGTGGTTGAAAGCAAACATGTGCTGGGGGGCGGGTGCCTGGTTCCCTCCGATCGGTGAGGGAAGACCCGCTGTGCTGGTCCCAGGCCAGCCGGACCGCTTTTAACTAAACACTCATTGCCCGCTGTTTACAGTGATACCAAGAACACGGCAGCAGCTGTGTTCTTGGTATAACAGCTTCAGAAGCCAGATTTTTTTTATAGTCAGCAGTCCTGAAGTAATTAATGGTCGCAAAGCTGCATTACTTGGTGATACTCTTAGGAGGTTTCTGCAACATGGTACAAGGAAGCTGTAAGGGATTCCATACACTCTCTGAGCCTCCATTTTAGTAGAGGTGAGGTGACCGATGCTTTAGCTTTTGCTCAGGTGAGGCTTTCAAGCAGTATTTTCTCAGGAAAGGTAACAATTGCAGCCCTTATGTTGCTCTTTACTTGCAAAAGTATGCCAGTTTGAGAACAAAATCTCTGAGGTGGAAGACTCTTGAAAGGTACCACATGAACGTTATACTTATAGCATGAACCGCTTCATGTATATCGTAATATGTTCAAAAGAATCTTTAGAAATAAAATGTTATCATGTGGTCTAATACATATGTACTTAGCAATAACTGAAGCTGCTGAATATTCACTGGTCATAGCTGTAAGTATGGCCTCCCATTTAAAAAATACACCCTAATTATAAGTGCATATGCAGTTTTCTATTTGTCCCCTTTGTAGAGTCCCACAGATACCTCTCAGTGAGGTAGCTTTCTTTGATGGAGTGGGAACGATGCTGCACTACTCCTGAACTTAGAGCAGTGTTGTCACTCTTATGGAGTCTGTGTCTGCTTTCACTCTAGTGGGGTGAGAAGGAGGCAGGGGGTATGGCAGCTGCTGAATGAAAATCCTGCAGCTAGTTAATAGGCAATTGGTCACACCTAGTCCTTCCCACTGCTTTCTGGATTGGCAGCACTGCCTATTTGCTGTAACCCTCCCACTGTAGGCTGCAGCATCTGGGTAGGGGAGTATGTGAGACATAAATGAAGGAGTATTTTGCTCAGCCAGGGAAGGTAAAATACATTTTTTTTGTGTTCTTTAAGAAGCTCATACATTACATGGTAACTGGATTTGTGACCTATTTAGACTGTTGTACCGGAGCCTTTAGAGGCACTTTACTTGTGTGCTGTAAACATGTTTTTGTTTTGGGTTTCTTTAGTAAAAGAGACTTAATGACAAATGTTAATTAATCCTGAATATTTAGTTCATTAGATATTGTCCTTGCGGCGGGAACTAACCATACTGTAGAGGTTTTCGATCTAAATGTGGGTCGCAGAGTCACGACAATTCCAGATGTCCATTCAAGAGCAGCTCATCAGATCTGTCAAAATAAGGTAAAGTAACTGAGAGCATTATATTTTCTTCATGAAGAGTAATATTTCACTGCAGGGGAAACCTATGCTGAGAATAACAGGCAAGAATAACAGGCAAGATGTCTTTGCTATCCGAAAATGATAGTTGCCTTGGCTGTCATCTGCTGATCTGCACTATAAGCTTAAGTACTTTTAAGTCCCTGATTTAGAATAAGCATAAAGTATATATAAACCCTAACAATGAACTTTTACTCCCTTTTGTTCTGTCTAATATACAATAGAAAATAGTTTGTTATATCTGTTTGATAAGTGCAAAGGAATAGCTTGATCCTGCCAGAAATTGTGTTAGTTGATCATTTCCTGTGCTTTCTGCCTTAGCTGCACTCTTATCAATCAGCATTGTGCCCAGTTATCTCTGTGTGCTACAAAACACCTACCCATGTTATGAAGAAGAGGGGGAGTTATTTTTAGTCCAGTCCTAGAGTGACAGTGTTTTCCTCAATTGATACAGTATGCTAAGTGATACCTCTGGTACCTCTGTGATACCGAGCAGAATAGAAAATCAGTGCAAAAAGTAGAAAAAATATAAAAAGTTGAAAAAAATGTTTAAAAAGGTAAACAAATGATAAATCATAAAAAAAGAAATAGTTTTTAAAAAAGAAAAAAAGATCATCCGCAAAGTTGTCATTGTTTACTGACAGTTCAGCATCCCCAGGTAACCTGGGGACGCTGATCTGTCATTGAAACTGGGCAGAGCGCACGGCTGGCTCCGCCTAGCTGTCAGTTGTGAGGCTTTCAGCCGGCCATTGGCCCGCTTCCGGTTTCACTTCGGCTCAGTCAAGCCGAAGCAAATGCCTTCGGCTCGGCTGAGCCCCTCGGCCAGCTTTCGGAGCTGCACAGGCTATAGTGAATAGCCCTACAACAGCCCTTCGGTTCCACTGAACGGGAGGGCTCCGGCGGAGCTACGGCTGATCCTTCGGCCAGCTTTGTGAATAACCCTTGATGTTGATTGAATTATATTATCCCGATGCAAGATTGTGAATAATTACCTAAAAAGTCAAATACTGGCATGCTTTAATAACATGCTGCTGACAGCATTTATGTGCATTACCCAAGGGAAACAAAGTAGACAAAAGCTTTCAGCAGCTAAGAGTTATTGGGCTGATGAAGTCTGGCTTTTGATTGGTTCAGAAGCAAAACATGTAGCTGCTTCATTCAGGGCAACTAAAAATACTCTAGGCCCTATATGTGAACCTTCCCAGGAGGAATTACAGTCAACATAAAAAGTACACTTCATAAAAGTACGCTTCTGCATGTTCAGCTACTTGATCTGTCTTCAGTATGGCAAACTACTTCTAATTTAAAGTAGTTTTATTGAAATATTGTATATAAAAAGAACATTATGCCTTTGTTTGGAGTTCACATTTTATTGGATTTTTGTTCCGCGAATATGTAAGCATATTTTTGAGTAAAATGTGGTCTGGTAGAATACTTAGTGTGTTGAGGTGCTCATGTATCCCTTACAACACGTGTTCAGTCATTTAGCTACTGGTGTTCCATTTTTGTGCTCATTCAGCTGAAGGGATTTTGGCCTAGGTAAGCAATGCATTCTGTCAAAGCTGCGGACACATAAAATCTCTTGGGGCTGAAGTGGAGGCATACAGCCTGCTGTGGTTTTGAAAAAAATAACCCATCAAGCTTGTTTTTCTTTAGTCAAAAAAACTATTAATGGAACTTATAAATCATTTAGTTAAAGTGGATTGCATTAAAGCTTAATATGAGTATATTCCAATCTTTTCACTACACCTTTTATGGATGTTAGGAAGCTTTAACAACAGATACAGTCAGTTTGGTAGAGGAATATGCTGCTCAGCAGATGTCAACTTCCACTATTATTCATATAAATATTGTGAGATTTAGATCCTTATGGAGAGCATTCCATAAACTCCGTACACTCAAGAAAGTATGTTTTGGGCTCCTGACCACTTTTTTTTCATCAAGTAGAAGTTCCTTTTCACCAAATTTACCTTCCCAGGGGTCCATCAGCAGCATAGCAAAACAAATATTCAGCCTCCTGTCTATTACGTTGCCTAGCTTGCCACATCTCACTGCGTACAACAGAAACCCACTCACAGCTGAACAGATCAAAATGCCTATCTATAAAACCAGACAGGTCTGGACACACACTCCTTGTGTGTCCATACACACTGTTCCTGCAGCAGTCTGTGTCCTGGAGAGGAATCACTGACTGGCTAGACTGGTTCTCTTTTGTAGGGCAACACCAACTTGACACCTGTTCAGAGACCCTTTTCATGCTTGACCATGCTCTATCATTTCCAGTATATGCATCTTTACGGAGTGACAGCGTTTGTCACAATATATATATATAGTATGCATGTAAAATATATAGAGCGAGTAGTGGTACCAGAACTCAATCCAAAAAGTACTGCCTTGGTGCTCCACACAAAGGTAGTAGTACAACAAAGGTTTAGTAGGCACTCAAAGATCTTCCACAGGAGTAAAGATCAGACAAACATCAAATCATACATTTATTATACATATGTAAAACTCACAGGTCCTGTCCCTCCTCCAACCTTTGGTTGGACTATGAAAGGAGAAGAAACAAGCTTATAAGCCCATCTCTCTGTCATTTTGCTCTTGTCTCCTTTCAGCATGTTCCTTGTTAACAAAAGAGAACTGCAGCAGAACCAACTGCCTCCCCATGCTGCTTCTTCCACCCCCATTCTGAGCTCTGCTGTACAGGGATTGCAACAGGATAATACAAAATTAAAGTGTGTCTTTAGTTCTTCATTAAACGCTTGAAGACCAGGTGTTTAGACCCCCTTCCTGGCCAGGCCATTTTTTAGTGTTCAGCGCTGCAGTACTTTGACTGACATTTATTCCGTCATGCAACGCTGTACTGAAATGAATTTTATACCATTTTTTGGGGACAGATAGAGCTTTCGTTTGGTAGTATTTAATCACCACTGCGGTTTTTATTTTTGACTATATTCAGGAGAAATTACTGAACATTTTTTTTACATTATGTTATAAAACAACTAATATTACCCACTTTTTTGGTAAAATATAAAAAACGGGGTCACGTCGGGTAAATAGACACCAAACATGTCAAGCTTAAAAATTGCGCGCACTCGCAAAATCGCAAAAAACTAGCATACCCAAAATTGGCCATAGGCGACGCTTTAAAAGCTTTTACCGCTCATCAGTTTAGTGTTATCAGTGATTGATGGCCCTAGACTTATTGCTCTCATTCCGACGTTCGCGGTGATATGTAACATGTGCGGCGTAATGGGCGCAATCGTCGTTTTCGCAGGTATGCGCAGCTGACGCATGTTTACATGCGTGTATGTAGGGGTGGGGACTTTAAAAACATTTTTTGTTTTTTTAAATTCTTTTTTGTGTAACTTTAAAAAAATTTGGGGGGGAAATTTTAATTTTTTTTACAATTCTTTTTTTTTTTTCACTTAACTTTATTGCTATCACAGAGGGGGCTGAGAAACCCCCTTATGAACGGGCTTTTCCCGCTCGCGCGCGGGCGGATGTAACAGGACGTGTATACACGCCCAGTTATATCCAAGAAGATAAATAAACTACATTTAAACTGCATTTATAAATATATTTAATGATGTATTAACCTCCCTGGCGGTATGATTATGTCAGGAATTTTGTACCAAAAGCGTTACAATTTTTTGCATAGAAATTTGGTGTTATGTATTGTAGACCTGCAATTCTTAGTAAATCTTAGGAATAACTCACCTAAACTCGGGGTACCGCTCCTAGTATGGAAAATTAACCCAGAGCCAGACTCGGGAATACCGCCAGGGAGGTTAATGAATGCAGGGTGGGAAATCAGTATGCAGTTATCTGCCTTTGTACCCTAATTCTCTCAACTCTACTTTACAAAGTGCACTGACTGAGCTTTTTAGTTTAGTAATAGCTGTGTTTTTCCTGTGTGTATTGCTAATGCTTAAACTTATCTGTTATGAGAGGGATATAGAGCTTTCCATCCCTGACAACCATAGGCTTCATTATGTTGAATCATTGGCTGGAACACGTATGAATAAAATTAATTCCATTGTTCCTAGTTTCTCTGTACAATAAATTCAGGTTAGTAATTAGCCCAGCAGCTTACATTTTTTAGGAGGTAAACCTGGCTGTCTCATGACAGGTTTACTTTAAAGGTCCATTTCCATTGTTTTGTGTTTCTGCTTTTTGGAAAGAAGTCAAACCACACAAAAACAGCAAGGAAAAGTCTAAGTTATTATATTTAATGGTATATTTTTCATCTATGTGTTTTTCCGTGAGTTGCATTTTAGCCTGTGGAAGATCACAACCCTTCTGTAATGTTGCATTAGTGGTGCCCTGGCTGTCAGTATCTTCCCAAGAGTAAAACTCCTTTATTGTTAGCACCACTTAAAATGGCTACAAATATTTGTGTATGCATGTATGTTTCTCAACAATATAGGAACTTCCTGGCAATGCATTTTCAGAGGGTGAGACCCCATATCAGGAAAATAAAATGTCTTTTACCTGTTAGCTTTATTTTATTGTTACTTACTTTTTGTTTTCTTTTAATCTCTCTTAACATAGGGTTCTGCTTTTAGTACCCAGCCCACTGAAGCCTATAATCTTTTTGTGACCATGGCCATTGGTGATTCTCTAAAGTTATGGGATATTAGGACATTAAGGTAAGAAGGAAATGAAACCCCTTTTGAACAAAAATATTTTTTTATTTTTCTGTTCTGAAGACCTGAGCATGCTTTTTGTAACCCTGGATGTAGTGGAACCTGCAAGATTGAAGTTACTTGGTGATTTCCAAGCTGATTCAGTGCTATTCCAGGAATAAAACCTGTATTGTGTAGGTTCTATAAGCTTACTGAACTGGTTTACCTCATTCAGTAAGCTAAGGGAAAATGTCCTTACAAAGTGAATGGACTAGAGCAGCCTAGAAGGAAGAAAAGAGTTAAGTTAAAGGGGCAAAGTAAAAAATCTTCACCACTGGAAGGGGTGGGGGGTGGGGGGGGAGGGGTCAGGAAGAGGTTCAGTGTATCAACAATTTGGTATAATTGCAGTTGCAAATAAATTGCTAATATTGTAGGTTTTGAAAATTATCTTCCTTGTGGTGCACACTAGTTGTTCATGGAAAAATGTTCCTTCAGATTGTGTTTCTATTATATGGGACTTTCATAACTTACTCTTTTCCGTGTAATCTTTTGGAATAAATTGAGAACTCAGCGGGGTAAGGCTTGAGTAACAGCACTTCTGGACCCAAAGCCATATGAGACAATAACAGCACCATAGGCCCTGTAGATGGGAATTCCAGCAGGAAGACTGGTGGACTACCATACCAATATTTGTGATAAGCCAAAGGATGATTAAACTGTATCTAAAGCAAAGCCAGTAACGTAGGAACAGGTTAGCAACACTTTGAAATTGTTATTGCGGTCTATGTGCCTGCTGTGGAGATTACCCCTCTCTATTTGTCCTAGTGACCATTGTCGTCAGGACTGTAAGTTAGGAAAAATCCAAAAGTTTGAGTTGTCACTGGGAATAGAGAAACACATCATTTTAGATTTGAGATCTCCTCTCACTTTCTGCTGTGTCTACTTGACTGTAAGTAAAGGGAAACTTCTCAGTGAAGAAGTCAAACCTGAAAGTTTCTCTAGCTGTCAGGAAACTGTCTGTTTCTAGGCTTAGTATGAATGATTCGTCCTGTGGTGCTCCGGAGTTTCTCTGGTCATCTTTCTGGTCATCTTTCCAGTCACCGCTCTGTGTATCCTTCCTGTAGTGGTCCTGTGTTTCTATCTGGTGAGGTATTTCAGCTAACATTTCTGAGATCAGACCAGTTTTGTCTGGAGATTCCTTTTACCAGGACCAGTGAAGGAGTGAGTACTCTAACCATTTTTTTTCTTCCCTCCTTTTACTAATTCTGTTGATTATTGTTTGTATTTCTTAACACTATCCTGTAAGGTTTTCATGAACACATTGGTTTCCAAAGACAGAGTAGACAGCCTGCGAAGAAAGCAATTGTATAAAGTTTTCGAAAATCAGAATGCCCTTTCTGGCAAAGAAGAGCGAGAATCATAACAAGGACCTTGGTGAAAACCCTTGGAGTCAAGGCCAGACTATAGGGAGGGCTTCTGCACCTCTTCACTGTCTGTTGATTCTCCTCACCCCCCACCCCCGCTTCAGCAAAAGTGGATATTTCTAGTTTGACTGGAGCCCTTCCAGAAGATTCTTTATCTGATGATTAATTTTTATGGTCCTTGGAGGAAGATGTTACTCCAGCTGCTGATTTTCAGTCACCTATAGTGTCTCAACATTGTGTGCTTTTTAATTTGAGCTGTGCGCCCACCTTTAAATGTGGAAGATTCTGCCGTTTCTACTCCTTCTGCAGTATTTAGTTTATATTCTTTTAAACCTGCACATGTTTATAACGTTTTTTCCTTTTCATCCTTTTATATACAAAGATCAGGAATCTCCAGAAAAATGATTTCAGTCACTTTATCCCTTTCTGGATAATTTCAAATTTTTTTTTTTAATGGTCAGTTCCCCTTGAGGTTGACACTTAAGTTTCTCGCCTTAATAGGGCTCTGACTATTCCTATTCATGACATCCCTTCATTTAGAGACCCGACTGATAGGAAATTAAAAACTCTTTCTTGCTCCATTTACTCTTAACGGGATAGGCTTTTCTACCCCTGTTAGCCAGTTCTTATTTCCCCAACCTTAGCTACCTGATCTAAAACTGTGAGTGCTGACAAAGCACCTTTGAGTGTTGACACACATTTTATTGATTGTGTCAATCAGATGAGAGTTATATCTCATTTTGTGTGTAATGCAGTTCTTGATGCCTGTCTAGAGTGTTCCTTTCCTATGTTCAGAGTCAAAGAACCATTTGGCTTAAGTGCAAGTTGGAGGAGCCTCAATATAAGGGCCTTTTTTTTTTTTTTAAGCATGTACATTTTTATTGAATACAAAGTAAAAAAAATACAATAACAAATAATAATGCAAGGAAGATGTCAACAACCATTACATTTTCAGAAAAATACTACAAAGAATATTAGTTCCAAAAGTTATCTGTACAAACTATGCAGCAACAAATAAAGATAATAAAGAGGCACAGCATATTCAATATAGTAAGGGTTTATATCAACCTATCAGAGTATGGGGTATTTTCCCAACAAGGGAAATAGGAGGCAGGATAACAAGGAGAAGTTAAGGGAAAGAAAACTGCATTTGAGACAACATGAAAATGTTTCATGAGACGAAGCTACATAACTGCAGGTAAAGCAAGAAAAGGAGGTAAGTGCAATAAAGTCAAGTGGGATATAAGTAGAATAGATGAGAGGACATCTAATTTCCAGAGAACCGTTTTTGAAAGCTAGACATCAAATCTCTCAACTGTTGTAATGACAGTTCTGATGTGAGAAAAGATGTCCATGTGTCAAAAAATTTCTCGGTACAGGCCTGATTAAATTTAGTTTTTAATTTATCCAACAGCATTAGACGGAAAAAGAGGGAGCGGAAGACAACACAGCAGTAGAAAATCAAAACATTGAAAAATTGCAAAAAATGATGTGGCCAGTTGAGGTTAAAAGCTTTCCGAAGGGGTTGTCAGTGAAAGGGTTAAAAGGAATGCAAGGAGGGGGGAGGGGTTCTCAATGCTAAAGTTGGGCTTTACACCACTCATAATACATTAACCATTCTCACAAAAATAAATCTCATAGCCACATTTGTCAGAAAAGAAAAATGCTGAAATAGTTTGAAAAAGATCACATGCAACCCTTATTTAGTGTGGTCAACAAAAGCTTTTCATGTGTGTATATATGAGGTAATTTTTACTGTTTACTTCTTGGTGAGATATGTAAATGCAATCATAGTACTATGGATTACTTTTCATTTGGATGTTATCATTCTTACACTGTGGCTGTACTTTGGTTTGATGCAGTCATGTAATTTAAGATTTTGAGGTTATGTGGTCTCTGAAAGGATGCTTTAAATATTTAGGAATTACTGTGTGCTGCTGTGTACATTCTCTATGGAAACACAGACTGAAGTATGTTAGCTTCTTTTTAAAGCTCATATTATTACTTACTTTCTGTTCTATATTGTGATTGATTTAAGCATAACTAAATAAAGCATTGCCAAACAATGGCTCTTTTTTCTATAGTTATGCAGTAGCAATTTCATAGACCAGTTGAGGAAATTAATTTCTGGGCGGTAGCTATGAATTATTTTATTTATGTTTGTTATTGTTATGTATGTATAAAATACATATTGAATGTATTTTATTTATGTTTGTTATTGTTTTGTATATTTTATATAAACTCTTTAGATTTTGATATTAAATAAAGAGCAAAATGTCATCACCCAGTCATTGATTTGCTAGAAGTGTAGGGAATGTCCACTTAGCATTAGTGAATATGATAAAGCTATGATCACCTTGAATACCCAATCATGTGCAAGGGAAATTTAAAAAAACAAACAGGCCTTTGCCTTACACATGATTGGCCAATCTAAGTAAAAATAGCTTCACCTTTATAGCTCTTTTACTACTTGTAAAATGCATTTAAATACTTGTGCTATGTCCATAGTTGGTCACTTTCCTTTTCACTTTACAGAAAATACATATGTACTATATACAGTGTACAGACCACTTTATATTTGTATTATAGTTAAATCTCAGTATCTCAGTATTTTGCCGATCATTCAGTGACTAGCGTTGTGTCTGACATCTGTGGCAACTCCAAGGGATATATTTCTGTTCCCCATTATTCTTTTTGCTATTGAAGCATTAAAGCAATGGTGTTGTTAAAATGTTGCTTATATTGTTTTTTTGGTAATATTTAAAACAAGTTATATGTATTACAATAATATTACCATAGCAGTCTTTTGTATTAAAAGTGTTAGATCAAGGAATTTTATTTTGCTTTTTGGAATGCAGTTTGAAATTAGTGCAGTTATGCTGAAATCAAACTACTTTCCAACAGCCAAGGAAGTAATAACATTCCCATGATCCCCATTTTGCCTGCAGGAGAGATTAAACAAGACTTACACAGAACAGCAAAGCCTATAAATCATTATATCCCCCTTTCAACTGGCCCAGTAATGCACCTAATAGCATGTTGCATTTACTTAATGACTCTAGTACGTATTATCAATCTTGAGCAGCTGAGAAAGCTTTGCATCGGTTGTTTCTTTGACATCTGATTGAGGTTGAAAATCAAAGTATATTACACATCTTCATCTACATCTTAATACAGCAGAGCAATAACATAAAATAACATAAAATTTAGAACTAAGTGTATCTTAGAGGGGAGCAGAATGCCCAGTGCGTAGTTATTTTCTTAAAGGCATGTTTGAGAGCTACTTGTGGTTGAGGAATATATAAGGGCCAATGCATGAAGTATATACGCTAAGAAAATTGTGCTTCCTATAGCAAGCAAACAGCTTCAGATTGACTATTCTGCAGACCAAGTTTGAAAATGAAACATATTCTGTCTGGCTGCTTTGGGCACTTTCCTGTTAGCACATATTTCATACTTCAGCTCCCAAAAAGTGAGATAAAAACCACAATTACACTAACTGCATATTTTGGAACTGCCATACTTTCAGCCCCAGCCTATGCCTATGCCCCTTTTATGCAGTTTAAGGTATTCACCAACAGCAATTAAAGGAGACTATGG